GCAAAACAAGAGAGAGAGAGAAACACAGAGACAGAAAGAGAGAGAGAAACACAGGGACAGAAAGAGAGAGAGAGAGAAAGAAACACAGACATAAAGAGAGAGAGAGAGAGACACAGAGAGAGAAAGAGAGAGATACAGACAGACACAGTCAATAACGTAGCCATGACTAATCCAATAATTAAAATAACAGGCCCATAATACTGTAGTCCTTGGGAATCAGGCAAAACTAAACCATTGTCAAGGACTGTTCTTTGATGCTCCACACTCTTATAAATAGGCTTTAATTTCACAGTCAGTCTCTGTCACAGGGGTCAACAAGTTGAATAAGGATTTTACAAATTATAACAGACAGGCATGACAATGACAGCCTGAGGTGTTTAATCCTCACTCTCTAAGATTGAGTTACTTCAAAAGAGCAGCCTCTTCAACTGGATTAGATCAAAATTGCGCTCTTGCCTCGTTTATTGGCACACTGATACTTAATATGCCACCAAAACTTTAGCACATTGAAGGAAATGGGAAAGTCTAGCCAGGGATTGGCTTTAACATCCCTCTCTCTTTCTCTGCAAGACAGCATCCTCTCACACAATGTATGGTACCAACACGAGGTCTGTGTGAATATGTTTTGACCTGCTCATAACCAGCAAAGACATTTTCTCATCCCAGGCACAAGAAGGGGGAGGCCATTCAGCCCTGCATCTCCATACAACCAGATCATCGTACTCCCATGCAATTTTCCAACACTATCCCCTTATGCCTTAATATCTACAAATATATCGATCTCTGCCTTGGATATACTCAATGGATGAGACTGCACAGCCCTCTGAGGTAGAGAATTCCATGACTCACTCCCCTTTGGGTGAAGTAGTTTATCCTCATTTTTGGTCCTACCTGTTACTCTGAGACTGTCTCTGATTCTCGATCCTCCCTCAGCCAGGGGAACTATCCTTCCCGCATCTATTCCATTGAGCCCCTTAACAGTTTCGTACATTTCAATGAGATCGCCTCTCATTTTTCTAAACTAAAAAATGGAGGCATTGTCTCCGCACCATCTCCTCATTGGTTAATCCTCAAGGGGCAATATTTGCAACTGATGGGCTGGACCGACAGACAAGAGGCGAATCTCCACCACTGGGGGCATCACAACAAAATGCCAACCCCCCAACCAAGAAATAGCATATGAAAAGACGCAGATACTTACAAAGACCACAACGTGAGCCTCCTTCAAAGACAAAGCCATTGGGAATAGCTCCGTAGCGCCTCATGTCAGAGAGTTTCCACTGGCCAATGATGGTGGGAGGAACATCGCGCACCAGCACAAAGATATTGTTACAAAAATGGAGCGTTGCAGGTCCACTTTCCAGCTTGGTACCAGGGAGCACAGAAACGTGGAACCTGTGAACTGAGAACACAAGACAACAATGTGGTCACCATCACAGAATCGATAAATATCTTGGAAAAACCTGTTGTCATCATCTAGAAACGCGTTGTTCCAAAGAACAGTACAGCACAGGAGCAGGCCCTTCGGCCCACCAAGCCTGTGCAAACACACGATGCATTTCTAAAGTAAAAACCTTTTGCCTCTATGCGGTGCATATCCTCCAATTTACATTTGACAGATTTCTTTTTAATAAATAATGAATTCTAGGTGTTGAGCTGGGACCTTGAATCATTGTGATCATGGAATCGGGGTAGGTACACCCAGAGTGTTGTTGGGGAGGGAGATCTAGGATTTCAACCCAATTGTATAAAGCGGTTGGTGGTCGGCAGGTATTAGCCTTTATTTATCATGATAACCATGTACTGGACAAGACTTCACAAAGCCACTCTGCCTTCCAGTCGTGTGGTTCATGTGATCTTAAATCACTTCTCCTGATGAGGCAGGTTACTGACCCATTAACAATAAATCCTTTACGAAAAGAAAAAAAATCCCTCACAAAAACGTCAAGGGTTGGCACTCATTCTCCACAATTCAGCCATGTCATCCTTTCGGACATTTCTGTTTCCCATCTCTAAGCTGGTGCATCTTCCACTTCCCTCATCCACCTTTTCGTAGCTACGCCTTCAGCCATCTTTTGGAATATGCTCTGAACTTTGGTCTCCTAAAAAAATTTTTAAAAACACCCCCCTTGGTCTCTCTTTGCTCTATTCATCCTGTCATGAAGTTGACAGGGGGTCGTCTGTTGTGGGGATGGACATGACCGTTTTTCCCAGGCTGTTTTGAGGCGGGGTGAGGGGGCAGCTTTCTTGCCTGTCATCGCTCTCCTTGGACCAGGGAGCTTCCAGCTCAATCACCTATCTTCTCACCCATCACCCTCGAGGTCACATGGGGACCAGTGTTGGTACGCCTCTCCAGAAATGGGCCAACCCAACACAGCTCCCTGGTATCTTACCCACCCATCCTCACCCCCAAACCCTTCACTCACCACCTGGAGCGGGGGTAAGGACTGGCACTGTTGGCAAAATTGCCCCACCCTGCTTCAATCTTTAAGCCCACGTGTTCTTTGCAGCATTTAGTACTGAGCATCCAAGCAATAAACCTACCCCCACAGGTCTCTTCAGGCAAGCTGCTCATTCAGCAACAACAACAACAACAAAATAAAAACAACCACAGATTCCTGGTGGGTTGGAGAATCAAAAATTATGGATCAACGTTCTCAAGTTCACTGGCTCTGTTTGCCCAACCGCTACAGGTCTTAGAGATAGTAGGAACTGCAGATGCTGCAGAATCTGAGACAACAAGGCATAGAGCTGGATGAACACAGCAGGCCAAGCAGCATCAGAGGAGCAGGAAGGCTGATGTTTCGGG